CCCCTCGAGAGCGTTCGCGACGTAAATGCTCTTGCATAGGCTAGTGGGGATACGCGAAGCGTAAAAAACAGATCCTGCGCAAAAGCAGGATGACGCAGAGTGCCACGGCGAGACACAACGGGCAGAACAAGTGCAAGAGTCGGCAAGGACAGAAACAGGGATCGACGAGTCGAGAAGATTAGGATCGAGACGGGCTCTCCTGTGACCCAACAAGATCCAGGCACAAGAAGTGAAGGCCGCAGTGGAGGATAAGATCAGAACGTAGCGACACCCCTGGCGCCTGCCCCTTGTGACCCGAAGGCACAGCCGCCCAGGTGGAGGTCTCGAAGCTGAACGAGTGAAAATCGTTGAGCCAGGTGAACCCCTACGGCGCAGGGTCAGACTCGAACGGACGCACGCGCACAGAACAAGGCCAGAAGCTCGGCCTCCCACTCTCGGGCATCCTACATACACGCGCAAGACTTGCTCCACGTGAACGCCGACCCACTCAGAAACAGCTCGCCCCAAAGTGAGTTTGACCTTCTCGACAAGAACTCCTTGACAAAGCATTGCAGCTCATGGGGCGTCAGAAGAACTCGCGGACATTCACGCCAAGAAGAGTGTGAACGAGAACGTTGTAGCCACTCCGGACCATACTACACATCCCACGGAGGAGAGCTGGCGGACGAGCTGGCGGAAGGAGGACGGGGAGGTGGAGGAGGGCGGAGGCGGGGCACGCTGGGAGGGCGGAGGCGGGCGGAGGCGGGGGAGGAGGGCGAGGAGGGCGAGGATGGCGGAGGGCGAGGAGGGCGAGGAGGGCGAGGAGGGCGAGGAGGGCGAGGAGGGCGAGGAGGGTGAGGGCGGAGGCGGGCGAGGCGGGCGAGGAGGGCGAGGAGGGCGAGGAGGGCAAGGAGGGCGAGGAGGATGAGCTTCGCCCTTCGAGGGCCGGCGGGGAAGCCGACGCTCTGCTCTGCTGCAAGCGAAGCCCATGGCCCATGGCAGGCCCTGTGCCGAACACGACGCCCTCCTGCACATGCTCCCCCCCAACGAGCAGACGACGAGGAGAGCGTTGATCAGCTTCCGCTTCTCTGCGAGAGCAAACCGGCAGACGACGCCGTCAAGATACGTGCGCAAGCCGCAGCTGCTCGCCAGGCGGGTGGGGGCAACCGTGACGAGGAGAGCACAGGGGCGGGGGCCTGCGAATAGGTGGAGCAAGAATCGAAGCTGGCATGTGTGTAGCTTCTACGTGCTCGGCCCAAACCGTCTCACTCATGACCAACGGCTCGTTCTTGACTACCTACCAGACCACCCCAACCCAACCCGAAGACCCGAATTTCGGGTTGGGCGGGGTAAGGGTTTCCCACGTGTTTTTTCGATGTTTCCCGACCCCCCCCCCACTGGAAATCGAGGGTAATTCTGAGCCTTCGGGTTGGGTTGGGGTGGTTTGGTGGGTGGTGAGTTCTCGAACGCGTGTGGAGAGCTAGACACGCGCCCATGTAGACGACGGTGTGGAGAACCCGGCACGTCGTGAACAAGACGGGGGTAAGAGAGAAGAGCAAGAACGGCGAGGTAAACAAAGCAGATGGCAATGACACTCACGGCGTCGACGGTGGCCGCGGCGGGCGGCAGCTGGCAGCTGGCGGGAAGGGCCGAGTATCCCCCGAAGAGGTACATCTTGTTGCCGTGCACCACCGCCCCGTTGTTTTCTCTGCCCGCTGGGATTGTGCCTAGCACCTGCGCCGGGAGAGGACAGCGAGGAGGATGCACTGACGAGAAAGAAAGGACCTGGGGGAAGAGCGGGGGAGGAGGAGACCGATACGGAGAAGGAGGCGGAGAGGCGGACCAACAAGTGCAGATCCGCAGCTTCGCCGTCGTGAAACTGCGGCACTGCACCAACCGGCCGCCCGCTCCTCGCCGCGCAGACGTCGTGTATGTTTCCAGACCACCGCACGAATCACAAGGAATCGGAAGGACAGAAGAAAAGGAGCGTCCGCGACTGGCGATGACAACAACGGCGAACACGGCCACGGCGACGACGACGACGACGACGACGACGACGACGAAGGCGACGACGACGACGACGGCGACGGCGAGGGCGAGAGCGAGGGCGAGGGGAGGGCGAGGGAAGGGCGAGGGCGAGGGCGAGGGCGAGGGCGAGGGCAAGGGCGAGGGCGAGGGCAGGGCTCTTCTTGGTTAGATCGAGGTGCCCTGCGGTTGCTCGCCTCGATGGCCCGCTCGCCCCAAAGAAGGGGGAGCGCAGCGCTTGGCAAGCACTTGCGAGTCAACTGAGACGGGAACAGGCCTCACTATTGCTGGGATCTGGAGATGCACAACATCGAAATGCCGAGGAGGAGGATCCTCACCACCACCACCACCACCACCACCACATCATCATCATCATCATCATCATCATCATCATCATCATCATCATCATCATCATCATCATCATCATCATCATCATCATCATCATCATCAATCATCATCATCACTCATCATCATCATCATCATCATCATCATCATCCTCATCGTCATCATCATCAGCATCTCATATCAATCTCATCTCTGTTATCATCATCATCAATCTACATCATCATCATCAGCATCAGCATCAGCATCCAGCATCCGCATACAGCATCAGCTCACATATCCTCATCATCTCATCACATCACTCAGCATCAGCATCAGCATCACCATCACCATCACCATCACCATCACCATCACCATCACCATCACCATCACCATCACCACCATCACCATCACCATCACCACCATCACCATCACCATCACCATCACCACCATCACCATCGTCATCACCATCATCACCACCATCATCATCATCATCGTCGTCGTCGTCATCATCATCATCACCACCACTATCATTCCCCCCCGCCCCTCATCCTCCTCACCCCCCCAGATTTCTCGCACGAGCAGATCCCCCGGGCGCCAAGGAGGGGCGAGGCGCGGCCAGCGGGGCGGGGCGCGCGGCGCGCTGCCGGACCGCGCGCCTCACCACGCGCCATGGCCACCGTCCTGCCGAGCCGCGGGCGCAACCTGCGGACACCTTCGGCAAGCACATCGTCAGCGCAACCGTCGCGACGAGACGAGACGAGACGCTGCAGTGCGCGCTGGGCCTCGGCCCCGGCACGAGCGCAACCGGGGGGGCCGTGGCCCTCGCCATCGCTCGGACGTCCATTCCCTGTGTTGTTTTCGGCTTCGTGCGTGGTTTTTTCGCCAAATGATGAAGGATGCTCCTCGATGGTCCTCGCCAAGAAAAAACATGCACACGTCCGAGCGATGCCAGGGGCCCCTCCGATACCGAGAGCCGCGGTTTTCCGAAGGTCACGCGGAGTTGCCTCGCGCAGCGGGTCATACGGAGAAGGCGGATGCGGCTGTTCAGCAAGAGCTCTCGGCACTCGAACTTTACGGTCTCACCCCAGCGCTGCTTCGTCGACCGTTCCGTTCGGGGCCCCTCCCGTACCACGAGGAACACTGAATCGGGGACGATGGGGCTGCGGAGAGCCTCGGCCACGAAGAGGTTACCTGACCTAAGTCAAGGAACAGCCCTCATCCAAGCCCCTCGTTTGCTCGCCCTGCCCGCGTTGATGGAATGAGCCCGGGCCAGGTCCGTGTCATTGCCAGCGGCTGCTGGTGTGGAGGTGCTACACGCCCCGCACAAAACGTTCATAACGCTTCTTGGGCAGCCGTACGTGTGGCCTGCGTTGATTCAGCCTCCACGGCTGCCAGTGCGTCAACCGTCCGTCGTCGACTGAGGCGGTCAGTGAGGCTCGATTAGTGTTCTCGAGATCCAACGGAAAGGGAGACGCGGAGAGGCGAGAGATGGGGGAGGAGGAGGGATCCATGATCGAGGGGGATTGAGGTTCTGAGCGATTTCCCTTGGGGGCTTTGGGGGCCCACGGCAGGATGCAGGAACACGCTCCACATGGCCGCACACGGCGCACGCGAAGGGCTGCGCCAGTGCACGTGGGCTGCAGCAAGCTTCTGCCGGACAGAGCCCCAGGGAAGCTGTACTGCTGAGGTGGTGCAGCAGGGGCGGGAGCGCCGGCCGGGTGCGCCCGGCGGCGGAGGCGTTTGCGTGCCAGTGGACCTGTTTTTGCGGAGTTGGGCGCCCTGGCGCGGACGGCCGAACGACCCCTGCAGCGGGGACACCCTGGCCACACGGTCGCCGCCGCAAAAACTGCCCGTTCAAGGCTGGCGCCGCGCAAAGGAGGTGCCGAACGGCGACCCAGAGATCCGATGCCGTGATTTTTTCAATGCAGGGTCCCCGGAAGTCTCGACCCACTCCCCAGGACCGGCTTTTCATCCCGAGTCGTTTTCTGACGGCCCCGAGGCCCGGCGAGGGCCCCCAGGGGCCGAAATTCGAGAAAAAAACCCGTCGTGATTTTTTCCATGCGTTGGATCTCTGGGGACGCTCACGGCCCAGGCGGCGGCGGCGGCGGCGGCGCGGGAGGTGCCACGCAGCGCACCCGGGCGGAGCGGAAGCCGGCCGCAGGGCTCGGCCGGGCGGCGGCGGGCCCGGCCGCCGGGCGGCGAGGCGGTGGCGGCCGGGAGGGGGCCGGGTGGGGATCCTCCCGGCGCACAGCCCGTGGGGGGGCCGCGGGCAGGAGGAGGACGAGGAGGAGGAGAACGAGGAGGACGATCAGGAGGACGTCACGGGCAGTCGGCCTGTCGAGGAGGACGATCAGGGGCAACGACAGGGGGGGCGGATGGGCCGAGCTCCGAAAACTCGGGTGGGGGGGCCGCGGGCAGGGCAGGGTCCCCAGGCCCAGACCCCCTCGAGCAATGAAAAAATCATGACGGGAAGTTTTTCGCCATTTTCGGCCCCTGGGGGCCCTCGCCGGGCCTCGGGGCCGTCAAAAAACAGGTCGGGATGACAAACCGGTCCTGGGGAAGGGGTCGAGACTTCTGGGGACCCCGCCTTGAAAAAATCACGACGTCGGATCTCTGGGTCACCAGGGGGGGGGGGGGGGAAGCGCGGCGAGCGCGACGAGCGGAAGGGAGGGGCGGACATCTGCTGACCCGGGTCGATCCAGGCCCGGGTCAGTCAGGCCTTGCAGAATCCTGCGGGATCTTGCACCCAAACCCGGGTCAATGCGAAGGAACCTGCAACACCCTGCAGGATCCTGCACCCAAGCCCGGGTCAATGCGACCCTGAAAGATCGGGCGCTCTGGCTGACCCCCCTTTGCATTGACCCACGTCTTACGGCTCCCGAGGAGGGGCGGAGAGAGGGGGCGCCCACAGGCGGGGGCAGACTCCCAGGCCAGGCACGGTGGAACGTGAGCGCGTCGCCTGGGTGGGCGACGCTCGCGCCAGGGGCACCTGATCGGTGCACGAACTTACATATGTAAAAGAAGCGTCCACCTTGCGGGGTCGACGCCCCGGCAAGGGCAACGGGCGGGAAAGGATGCGGAGGGCGTGCCACCCTGGGGGGGCAGCGCGCAGGACAGGAGCACCTGGATCGGTGCACGGGCAGCTCTCAAAATCATCCTGTGGTGTCGGGCCCTCGTTTTGAAGAGACGGCGCCCCGCGTCCCTCCCTCCCTCCAGCTTCCTCCTCCTCCTCCTCCCCCTCCTCCTCCTCCTCGTCCTCCTCCTCCTCCTCCTCCTCCTCCCGCTCCTCCCTCCTCCCCTCCCTGCCTCTGCTCTCCTCCATACGGGTGCTTCACCAAAGGCCCCAGTGGCAGGGTCCGCATCCAGTTCCGCTCCCATTTCGGCGCACCACTCACACGTTTCGTGGCCCCGTAGGGTGCTCCACCGAAAACCCCAGTGGCAGGGTCCGCATGCAGTTCCGCTTCTATTTCGGCGCACCCCTCACACTTTTCGTGGCCCCGTAAGTTGTTCCACCGAAAACCCCAAGGTGGCAGGGTATGCATGCAGTTCCACGCCCATGTCGGCGCACCCCTCACGCGTTTCGTGGCCCCGCAAGTTGCTCCCCACCGAAGGCCCGCATGGCAGGGCCCGCATGCGGTTCCGCCCCCATGTCGGCGCACCCCTCACGCATTCCGCGGCCCCACAGGGTGCTCCACCGACGGCATCAGCGGCAACGCCCGCGTGCCGCCGCAGTCGCGCTAAGGGCACACCACTCGCGCGCTTCGCGCCCCCCCACCAGGCGCTCCACCGAAGACGCTGCCCACGACTGCGGCACCCACGACCGCCTGCGGCGGGGTCCTTCGCCGGGCCGCTGCTTTTTGGGCCGCACGCCTCGGGGCCCGCCTCCGCGGGTCCCCGCCGCGCGCCCTCGCCCCGGCGCGGCTCGGGCGGGCAGAGGCCCGCGATGCACGAGAGGAGCCCGGCCTCCCCCGCGCTGGACGGGCGGCGGACGACGGGGCTCTCGGGCCGCGCCCGCGCGCCCCGGGCCTCCTCCGGGCCCTGGCTCGTGCTGCGGCGGAGGCTCGGGCCGGGCGAGAGGGGGGGAGAGCACAGGGGGGGGGGGAGAATCAGCTCACGTAGCGGATTCTCCCGGCGCCTCCCGGCGCCTCTCGAGGAATGGGCCCCTCTCGGTGAGGCCGAAACCAGCTGCGTGCAGCAAATGTTGCGACCCCCCCTTTCCCACTCCCCCCCTCTCGCCCGGCCCGAGAGGCTCATCCAGCTCGTGCTGAGGCGGGCCCTCATCCACCTCGTCGCCCGCCGCGGGGCGGAGGCCTCGTGCCGGGCCG